GATAGAGCAACATCCTCCTTTTGCCATTGCAATCTCTTAAATCCCCAAACCTTTTCACCATATTTTTTGTGGGTTGAATATTTTGAAAGTTACCTTACGCTTCTCGGGGGTAGAAAACCCAGAACTTACTCAAACACCTAAAGACTATGAATCTCCAATTTTTTGGTACAATAAATGGAGTTTTTTAAACTCTAATTAAATCTTTCTCTTAATACCGCTCCTTCAAAATTAAGAAACTTGAAGAATTCATTATACTTACCATTTAACTCAGATAACTTAGATGATATTCATTATACGTTATAAATAATTTCAGATAAAGATTAAAAATTAATCTTTACTATATCCATTACTTTTAATAATTAATCTTTGGTATTAAATTTGAGATAACATATTTTGTTCATGGTTGGTATCATTTTTAAAACAGGATATGGGTATTCCATTAATCATTAATTTTTTAGATTATATCATTTATTTCTATTCAGGATTCTCATCTATACAATCTGATATAAAAAGACTATATTAATTGATTAATGAATTCTAAAATTTAACCTTACTAGATTTATTATGGAATTACAAAACCAATTAAATGATTTGATTAAGTGAAACTGAATGACATATAGAATCATATATTTTATCGACTTTGCTTTGATCATCATAACTTAGATGATCACAGTAGTTTGCCGTATATAATTCTAAGTCCTGATTTTTCATTTTATGGAGTGATGTAATTTACTTTCATTTATTCATATACATAATTTTGATTCTCCTTTATATAACAATCTCATCATCGATTTCCATTCTATAATGATCTGAAAACTCAACACCATAATAATAATTTATGAACATGTTTATTAGATTTTACCTATCTGAATTTAAAGTTCCAATTTAAATAATGATTTTGTATTCTTCCAGATTTTGAATTTATGATTTGTAAGTTATAGGGTATTGATAAATTTCTAAATAATTCTCTTTTCTAATTAAATCTAAATTACTTAATGTTTTAATTCTTTTTTGATATTAATTTTTCTATTAATTTTATGATACTTCAAATTAGAATTCCAAATTCTATTACTAACAAATTTAAGAATATGATTCAAACCGAAACAAATTTGGAAAATAATATTTGCGCGTAGAAATTAGATGAATGAGAATAGAAGTACATTAACATTATGGATCTAAACAAAAGAATGCAATTATGGTGAGTTAGATCAATATTAAATATAAAGTTTGACCATAATGAAAATCTATCTCACAATTCCAAACCCGAATACATATTATATTGTATTTTGTAGTATGAATTATCATAATGAGAACGTAATTTTTTTTGTGTTTTGTAATTAAAACAAATAATTTTACTTTCTGTAATAGTTGTTTTTTTAATCATTTTTTGTTTAATAATTTTGAGGTTAATTTAAAGTTATAAAAATAGGAGTAATTATGATCTTTGATTACTATCAAATACCGAATTAATTTCTAATATTTTTAAGTACTTAAATTAGAATAAGGGCTATGCAATAAGATAACTAGCCTTTGAGTTGTTTACAATGAGGGGGGGCATAGGGTCTCACCTCGCAGCGCGAAATTTTTTAACCAAGGTGAGTTTCTTTGGTGTCAATGGGACTAAGTTGAAATGAATGGAATCCCCAAATTTGGGGGCGAGATATTTTTAGGGAATTTTGCAATGGGTGTAAGCTTCTTTAGTCCTATTGGCTCTTTGGTTATGATTAGCAAAAG